CTCGAGGTCTCGGCCGCCATTGTAGTCGGTCGGCTTGTCGCTCTTGCCGTCGAAGAACTTGAGCGTCGGGAACCCTTGAACACCGAACCGCTGACCCAGACTCCTCTCCGCGTCGGCGTCGACCTTGGCGATCTGCACCTTGTCCTTGGCGAACTCGAACGCGCTGGCGAGCTCCTCGTACACAGGGGCGAGGTTCTTGCAGTGGCCGCACCACGGGGCGAAGAACTCGACGAGTGTGGGCTTGCCAGACTTCAAAACGACGCTGTCAAAGTTGTCCGGGATGAGGTCGAGGACGGCCGACTTGGCAGCGACGACCGCCGCGAGCCCCGCAAAGACGAAGCTCTTGATGAGGACCATTGTATGTGTCTTAAGGCCTCGTGTCTTTTCTAGTGGTATCTTTCAGAACACAAGAATCTCAAGACCGAATGGAAATGATTTGAGGGGAGAGATCCTGCTCAATTGTTTAAATGGGTGGCAGTTCCGATTCAGCAATGCTTTGCTTGGAAATGCAAGTTTCCAAAGAAGCCACTTTGCCAGTTACCAGTAAGCTTGCTTGTAAGCTGTCAGCCACTGAGCGTTAACAATTCGCCTGTGCTTACGGTTGCCGTTTAGCCTTATACTTCCACTCCACTTGTACATACTGTACTGTACGTAGCTTTGCCTGCCGGATAACTTAAGCGATAAGATTGTCTCACTTTGCCTATCAGCCTATCTCTCTTTGACTTTATCGATAAGACGTTGGCTACCCCTTTGGCTGTGAAAAAGTGCACTTTCTTGGCACGACCCACAGTACAACCAATCTACATCTTGACCACCCGCAACCGTGCGTCAACTTACAGAAAGGCCATCATTTCGATACCGCTTTTATGACCTAAACCAGCGTCTAAGAAATCAGAGAAAAATCAGGGACATTGGAAAATACTTAAAGATATGTCGCATATAGCTCTGTTAATTTTGGTAGCGCTTAAGGCTTTATAAGCAGTTATATGTATTTGCGGCTGTAGTGTGAAATGGTTGTAGGGCTGGTTTGTGAGCGCGCTCTTTTTTCAAGTGACTGCATGTACTAAAAAGCGGGGCTTTTGGATTTTGCGTAAGCCGATTGGCTATTGAACCCTGTTGCCAAGAAAGTGCACTTTTTCACAGCCAAAGGGACACGGGGCTGGCACCAGCCACATTCTGTGCAAGCCACGCTAACCGAGCCCTGCAAAGGTCTGTGGTTCTGGGGCTAGTGGCTCGGGCACACAAGAAAAAAAAATCCCCTCCCTCGTAACAAACGGATCTTTCAGCATCGCGAAATTTCGGCCACCGATTCCCACATCGACATCACCTTCGACAACCGACGACACTACCACTCCTCGTCAATTTCAGAAATTAGACAAGATGTCTCACGAATCCGTCTGGAACTCGCGCCCGCGCAACTACGGCAAGGGCTCGCGCGCTTGGTACGAGCCCCAACATGAGAAAGAATTCCGAGGTGGATGGAAGAAGTGAAGGAGTAATTGTGGCTAACGAGGATATATATGACAGCCGCGTCTGCACCCACACCGCCGGTCTGATCCGCAAGTACGGCCTCAACATCTGCCGTCAGTGCTTCCGTGAGAAGGCTGCCGACATTGGCTTCGTCAAGGTACGATTTATTACCCTCCGAAAAAACCACCCGCTTGGACACAAACCTGTACCCGGGGGGGGGATTTTGGATCGACTGTGGACTTGGGATGGGATGGCTGATTCGATTTTAGCACCGGTAAATTAACCCCACCGCACCACCACCACGATGATGTCGAAGGGGAAGGAGGATGATGAGAGAGCAGCTTGGGAGTTTGAGGGAGCGATAGATGGATGATTAGGTACAACAACACATCACATTGCAAATCCTTCCGAAATCCGATGAGCGAGCAAAAAAATTTCTTGGGCCAACAAGCAAACACACCTGTATAGGCAGTGGGCGCTAGTTAGTGATGGGGCTTAAATGGAGTTCTTGGTTTGAGACACAATACTTTTTCCCCGGAAAAGGGACGGGCGGCGGAACGAAATAAAATCATTACAACACAACAGCTGCTCATCGATTCCTCCCCCGAATAGATCTCTCGTGCGATCCTTTCTCAGAAAGGACAAAAAAAAGAATAACAATGGACGCAAGATGTTGCTACCGTGACTTGATCTATTGGAGTATATCGAAACCAACATGCTCCCGAAAAAAAAACCATTCGGTCATTAAGAAGGGGCGGCAAGATTCCGGCAGCTTGAAGAGTGACAAGGTTCCAAATACGCCCAACAGCATTATACCTTCAAGCCAGAAACTTCAACTTCCATGACTCTTGGGAACCTGATTTCAGATGTTTCAGTCAGCTACTAGGTTCTGGCGACGAACCTTTGGTAAACCATCCGCATTCAAGTGTGGTAAGTAGAGGTGTGCATGTCGTGTGTAGTTGTTGCGGTTATTCATGATTCTTGAAATTAATTATATCTTTGGAGCTCGAAGTGCAAGAAAAGGGCCCATGATGAACTGTTCGGACATATTGTGGTATGGTTGTTTGTCGAGGACGTACCATAGTGTGCATTGGTGTACGACGGCTTGGTCCCCTTATAAACTCTGTCAACTGGCGTCTTTGTCAAGTCTTATCGAAGCTCCTACGACAAGTCGAACAAGAACAGCGTGATCCAGCAAGTAGTGTTCATCAGCCTCTATTATTGCCTTTTTGGTCTATATTACAATTCTTAAGACAATCGTAGAAAGAGAGGGGAGATCAACGAGCCTAGAGACAAATGTACATGGGCGGCTCCCAAAAGAAATGGCATCTCAAAATACATATCCCATCATGAAATTCCATTTATACAGTTTTCAGAACTCCGTGAAGACCCGCCTATGCCGCCGGCTCCAGACATGTAACCTCCTCCATTAGTGTACGCTTTGCGAGTAAGCTTATTTCATGATACGGGTGACAAGACCGGTGGCGACGGTCCGGCCGCCTTCACGGATGGTGACACGCTGACCAGCCTCGATGGCGATGGGGTTGTGGAGCGTAGCGACCATCTCGACGTTGTCACCGGGCATGACCATCTTGGAGTGGCGCTCCTCGGCGGAGACGCCCTCGGGGAAGAAGAGAGCGCAGGACTCGTCGGCAGATCGGATGAACATCTGGGGACGGTAGTTCTCGTGGAAACCGGTGTGGCGACCTCCTTCCTCCTTGGTGAGGACGTACATGGAGAGCAGGAACTGGGTGTGCGCCTGGACGGTGCCGGGCTTGACGATGACCATACCACGGCGGACATCCTCACGGCGGATACCACGGAGCAGCAGACCAGAGTTGTCTCCGGCACGGGACTCCTCGCAGGACTTCTTGAAGGTCTCGATGTCGGTAACCTTGGTCTTGATGACCTCGGCGCCCTTTCCGATCAGCTCGACCTCGGAGTCTCTCTTGAGGACACCACGCTCGACACGGCCGGAGGCGACGGTACCACGACCGGCGATGGAGAAGACGTCCTCGACGGACATGAGGAAGGGCTTGTCCATGTCACGCTCGGGGGTAGGGATCCACTCGTCGACGGCCTTCATGAGCTCGTCGATCTTCTGCTCGCCGATTTCAGGGCGCTTGCCTTCCAGGGCGCAGAGGGCAGAGCCGAAGACGACCGGGGTCTCGTCACCGTCGAAGCCGTACGAGGTCAGCAGCTCACGCATCTCCATCTCGACGAGCTCCAACATCTCGGGGTCCTCGATGGCATCGACCTTGTTGACGAAGACGACGATCCGCTGGATACCGACCTGACGGGCGAGAAGCAAGTGCTCACGGGTCTGGGGCATCTGTCCGTCCGAGGCCGCAACAACGATGATGGCGCCGTCCATGGATGCGGCACCAGTGATCATGTTCTTGATGTAATCGGCGTGACCCGGGCAGTCGACGTGCGAGTAGTGGCGGTTCGCGGTCGAGTACTCAATGTGCGCGGTCGAGATGGTGATACCACGCTTCCGCTCCTCCGGTGCCTTGTCGATCGAACCATAGTCGAGGAAGTTGGCCATGCCCAGCTCTGACTGCCTCTTGGTGATGGCTGCTGAAAGTGTTGTCTACCGGATGCCAGGTCAGCTTACGTCCACCCAAAAACACATATCTCTTCAAGTGTTGAAGTACCTTTCCATGGTCGACGTGACCAATTGTGCCGATGTTGACGTGAGGCTTGCTTCGCTCGTAGACTGCGTATGTCCGCGCAAGGTTGAGCACTGGTGATCGGCTCTGGCGTTGCAGGGAGATTAGAGGGTTGCTAGAGGGTCTAAAAGCGCATCTCGCTGTCCGTAGGAACGGAGCGAGGGTCCTTAATGACGCCGACATCTTGATATATACTGAGGAAGGGAATTGAATGAGCGGAGATGAGGAAAGAGCAAGTCGACAATCTCTCCTTCAAAAAGCGACGCTTTTCACTCGGGAAAATTTGGCTCAATCCAAAATTTGAGAAGGGTCGCCCAAGCTAGAGCGCACGGACTTCATTTCGCCGCGTGCTCGAGTGCCGTGGCTCTTGCCTCACGTGCAGTGGCGTCGTGTTGGCGACGATGAGAAGAATCACGCGAAAGAGTGCATCTCAATCCAGTCTACTGTGCTTCTACGTACGGAGTAGGTGTTCTTTAACATCATTCGAAGCTATATTGATCTTAACCGCCTAGTAGATGCCGCTTGCCGAAAGTTGCACCCTCTCCAGTAGTCCATCGGACGTAAGATGCCCCTGCAATTAGGGGCATTCTGCCTCCGCCTTCTGTAACATATCGGTCGCCCCGAAGTTTTCACGAGTCGCTACACCATGACTTTTCCACCGACGGTCCAGATGCGCTTCAAATCTTCTGCGGCGTGCGGGAAAGGTGTTGTTTAAGAAACGGCTTCTATAATTTTCACTGGATCCCTGGCCTCCACCGTCCCGAGCACCCAAGCCGCCACCGACAAGCAAAAAAAAGCGTTGGAATAGCTTCAAAAAAGTTATCGCCCCTTTATAACCAGGGCCAGTCAAGCGACGAACTCTCCCGCCGGGAATTGAACCCGGGTCCCGAGCGATGCCTAAGATGACAAGCTCATATACTAACCACTATACTACGGAAGATTGAAAGAATCTTGTTCATGGGAGTTTGGCTCCCACGTAGAATCAGAGTCCTCGGATACCGGGAGTCGAACCCGGGGCTGTTGAGTGACTGTGCTCAATTCCCGAGAAATTGAGAGTCAACGATGTTACCGCTACACCATACCCGACTGTGTTGGATTTGGGCGGCGGTAGACAAACCTACCAAGTGGGGTTTAGTGAAGGGCCCACACCACGAGCTAAGCCAGCAGTTCGCACTTGCTCAAAGAGTGCTGCTGTGATTGGCAACGTCAAAAGAGTGCTGTAATAGGTTGTAATAGGTCTTGACGATGCTGCAAAGGAGTCTTCTTATACAGTTTGGTGCTCGACCATAATTGGTAACGACTGAGGGGAACTATGCGCCACCATCAAGCGGTTCGCGGGTGCCTGGAGGCACGCAACATAAAGCAATCCTAGATCTCTACAGCAAACGGCGTCGACATACTCTACCACTTGTGGCAACGTTTAGCCCATTTGACTCGCGTGAGTTGTGATGGCGCCTCCACCACTCATGATTCCGCCCTGCGGCGAAAACCCACGACATCCATGCCACCCGCCTGCTATAGACAAGCCCTTACGAATCTCGGTCATGGGCTCGAAAAAGGAGGTCGAGTGTCTGCTCCCGGAGAGGCCCAGACTTCCTACCCAGCCGGGACAAGAGTACGAGGAGACGGGAGTCTGTTTCCCCAGGCTTGTATTTGCCACCCTTTATGGACGAGATGTGGATGATTCTGTTCAAGGCGACTTTGTGTTGCGCGGTCAGTTTTATGGATACGGGTTGAAACGGGGAGAGATAGGACCAAACAAGTAAGTAGAATAGCGCCGTAAGAAGCTTGTGCAACGGGCACTAACCGCAGAATAGTATCACCGACTATGGCATCACCTGACGACACTGACCCGGAGGTCTTGCAGCTCAACATATTCACGGCTAGTATGTCATGGTGGTCTAAACTCCCGAATCTCGAGCAGCGCCTGCAAGATCTAAGTGTTCTTGTGCTCGTGCCTCGCTGCTGTCAGACTCGGGAAGGAACAACTGACCGCATGAGGGTGATGAGGGTGAACGATGATGTAAAGGATAGGGGCAGCCATATAGCTGCAGCCCATCGGCAGCATTCCTTGACCGTAGCACCGGGTCCGCTGGATAGAAATACTATCCACTTGTCGCCAGATCGGAGGAGCTGCTGGACGTGGGGTCCACAGCAAACCACGATCTCAGCAACCGAGAGTCGCGATAACTGCTGGCTCGCACTGCGTTTCACGAGATAGGATAGTAGAGCTGAGTGCTAGGTACCGAAGAGCTGGAGGATTCCGTCCGGTAACTGCTTGGCCAACGATCACCGCCGAGTCGAGTCATACAGAGCCAAGATAGATATCAGCCCATTGCAATGGTCGGCTAAACATGACACGACGTAGAGATGGGAGATGCATGGCAAAAGATCAGCCTCCGTAGACAATGATCAGGAGCCGATATGAGTGAGCCTCGACCGAATGTCTCTCGAAGCTTAGATGCTCTTGGTATGTCCTGTGCGCAATAGCTCGCCTCCAGAAACCTGTAGTCGCCCAGAGATGATGGCTTCTGTCCTCGCATCCCGTGCCCGCATCGGGATGTGGAGGGAGGCTGGGCAGACATACTTGGCAGCACAAGCAAACACTTGGCTTTGCTTCACATATGTTGATGCTACTCAGACATCGGCAAAAGATGCTACAATGTAATCCCCTTCGTTGAATTGGCAATGTAACAGCCTCAATAGTCGATGGCAAAATGAAGCACGGGAAAAGAAACTAACGTAGCAGCTGAGTTGAGGTGATAGCTCCTGAATAACAAGCATGCCTATCTGACGCTGCGTAGAAGCCTTGCAGAATGCTACCACAATGGAGCGATGGTGGCCAAGTCCAGATGCAACTCTCCGTTTGCGTTTCTTTGGAAAGAACGAGCCCTGTCTCTCAAAGTGGAAGGCGAGGTCAAGAGAAGATGGACGGCAGTCGCGACCCATTTGGTGGGAGTACAGTACGTCAGCAGTGAAATTAATGCCAATGCAAACGGCAGGAGCGAACGAGGAAGCGAAGCTTTACCCGTCAGATGCCAATTCGGCGCCAAATGGACAAGCTTCGCCATGCCAAACGTTCGCCATCATTCTGGCCAAGTTCTAACGCCAACACTGTCTTTCTCACTGCATCAATTCCAGCATTCAGAAAGCATAACGATCAATCTCACCTTGCCACAATTCAACTGGTTCCTCTGTCTGATCTTCTCAAAGGGGCCCGCAATGGATTCACGCAACGGTGCTTGATCTTGGCAGGCAATCCCTCGCCACCCACAAGCCAACCTTACTCGACCTCGCGATTCGATACGGAGTAGTGCTGCGCAGAGCAAGCACAAATTCATGAAGCAAGCGGGCAGCCTTAGCTACTCCTGCTTCAGCCGAACCCCAGCCTGTTTGCTGCTACAGGTAGCCTTGCAGCCATCACGCCTGTCGCTCTCCCCTTCCCCATTGGAGTTTGACACGGCCTACCAAGATGTTTTCCATCAGAGATCTGAAAAGGCAAAACTTGAACTCGGCCCGGATGAAAGCTTGCGACTTCTTTTGCAGGGTTGAGGCTCACAATATCCTCCCCGGCAGTTGTGTTCCTGTTGGCTTGGCAAGCGCTTTGAGGCTCTTGGCGGGGTCTCAAGTATGCTTGACCCACTCCGGGTCCCCTCTACCTATACAACGCTCAGTTACACTTACAGCAGTGCTCAGAGGCACACTGACTTGTTGCTTATAACTGCCACAATCGGCAACCAAGGGTGCTCGCGGGCAACTCTGTCTCAGCACCTACCTTTTCTGCTCTTGGCTCTCTTGGCTGCGCTCCAGCCAAGCTCGCGATCTCTTCTTCCCAAACAGAGCCTCGAGATGCACTCCACTTACCTTGCCCAAACCAGCAGCAGCGCCCTAGGTTTAGTATCTATCATTGGCTCAGTGGTGACCAGTGTCACAGTTGTTTCAAGCACTCGTTGGCATTGTTTTCTCTCTCTTGGCGGTAGTCTCGCTCCGAATTGGCCGTGCTATGGGTAGTACCCAGCAATGTTTCTGATGGCGATAACCTCTTCCCTTGCAAATCCAGCTGTGCCCTGACGGCTGCTGATTAGGAGCCTTGCATTTGTGTCCTCTTGGACACATCTTGGCTGCTTCTGGGCGCTTGGCATCTCTTCGTTCGAGGGGCTGGTTCCCTGGAGCTTGTGAGACGATGCCGTCCAAGCAGGTTTCTATATATGGCTAACCTCACTCACATCCACTGTGCCTTTCCCTTCCTCTTGTCCCATCAGCTGTGCTCATCACTCATTGTCTGTGACCGTTCTGTCGTCTCTTATTTGTTTCTTTTCTCTCTATTCTTAATTCAATTCTCCGCTGGTCGTCGTCGCTGGTCGCCTTTTCCATCAAATATTAACACTCCCTTGTTCCACTTGACAATACCACCGGTGGTACCTTCCAAGAAAAAAAACTCAGTCAAAATGGTCAACTACAGATTTGTTTGCTTTGCCGGCCTGGCCGCTGCACTCCCTCTTAACATCAACCTCGGTGCCTACTCGCCGGCTTTGGTAGTTGGTAAGTCATGGCATCCCCTCTTCTCACTCTTTGACAGACAAGCATATACTGACAAAAGGCCAACAGGTGATGGTGAAATCAGCTTCGGAGGTAGGCAAGATGTCTCGGCTTTGATGAACGCCCTCGAAGGTGCTGCGGTTAACGCCGCAGCAGGAGCCGCCGCCGCTCCCGCCGCTGCTGCTGCCCCTGCCGTTCCTGCGGCCGCCGCTGCACCTGCAGCAGCCGCGGCAGCTCCTCAGACAGCCGCGGTTGAGCCCGCCAACACCCAAGCCGCCGCCGACCCAACACTCAACGAGCAGGTGAGTTCAAGCCACACCCAGGTCCATACGTTCTCAAGTCTTCTGTGTGCTGATAACTAATGCCACGATAAAAAGGCCCAGCAGATCGCCGCTCTCCAGGGCATGGGCAAGGAGATTGCTCCCCGCGCCGAGGAGCAGGAGGAGGACGCCAACGTCGCCAAGCGAGACCTCGCCGGCTTCGACCGGGCATTAAAATTTGCCGAGGCTGCCCTGACCAAGGGGCCCAAGATTCAGCTCGGAACTGGTGTTGAGGGCTCTGGTGTCGGTATCATTGTTGACAACAACCCGACTGCTGGTATGTCACACCACCCAAGACCGTTGCGATGGTATGTCACTGACCCTTTGATGTAGCTGCCCGCGCCGGAAAGGGAACTGCTGAGGGTGCTGCCGCCGCTGCGAAGCGCCGTCGGGATGTTAACGAGGCTTCTGCCCCCAGACGCCGGGCCAAGGTTACCACCATGTACGTTCGCCGGGGTGTTCCAGCTTGTGAGTAGTGGTCGATATCAGTTCATTGTCCAGTCCAGTCCAGTCCAGTCCAGCCAGTTCTATCGCTGCATATCATGTCTAGGTTGTGGAAAGGTGCTAATGGTATGTATGAACAGCATTCCAGAGCAGCAACTCTGAAGCAGTGACTGCTCGCGATATCCCTACTGCTCCCGCACCCGCGTCAGTTTCGAGAAGAGATGCTATCGACGCAGTCAACCTCAACGTCGATGGCAATACGGGCGTCACAATGACGTTTGTCGAAACTCTTGATGACGATGAGGAGTAGACAAGACGGTCGCTTGGTTTTGGGAATGTATATTGGTACACATACACAACACACATAGTGCGGCATACAGGGACACAGTGTTTTTATTATTTTGGTTCGGATATTTATTTGACATTTAAATGAGCGACAGACACACACAAGATACGGTTTACAGACATTGGGCATTTGAGTTAGCTAGAATATCTGCTTCACGCAGATTTGTATTTATGACTGTTGAAGCTAATAGAAACTAACGATTGGTACTTTTCAACTGCTTGCCATTTGCGAAGTGCTGTTCTAAAGTGTTTCGATGAAGACACGCTTTGAGTGACCGGCTTACTGTCTCGG